TGTGTGTGTGTGTATATATATATATACGCAGAGAGAGGCGCCACTTCTATGTCATGGTAAGTGTTTCATAACATTAAGCAACATGCATCTTCCATTTCCCCTCAAATAAAACATCTTACAGTGTTGTGTTTCAAATTGACAAATGCACCTTTATTCTGAAACAGCATAAATATACTAATGAGAAAATTCTACTCCTCTAAAATGGTATAACATCTTAAAAGTTTTAGCCATAGGCTCTCTTTTCAACAGTTGTTTCATTTTGTGCATCTTCAAGTGAAAGTTTAGTGTTCCAGATAGAAACATAAAATCCAGCATAAACGTACATCAATAGCCTTTTATTTATTTTACTATAAAACTCATACAAATAGAGCTTACACAATTATCATCACAACCTGTCATCTTTAAAACAGTTTATGGTCTCATGATTTTAGGGGAAGCAATAGCTTTATGTTGAATCTGTTAGACATATACATATATGTAAAATAGCTGCTATGTACTAAGACATTTTGCTAGGTAGAAAGAATACCAAAATGAATAAGACATATAAACTCCAGAAACATTGCATTTAATAGATAAGACAAGAAACCAGAAACAAACACCTATGAAACACGTCATGCTAGAGTTAAGCACAGGTAGTCACGGGAGTGTATAAGAGAATCTCCCAACCCGTTTTGTAGAAGTGTTCATGAGAGACAATCCCTGGAAGAGGTGATTTCCCAGTCAGGGTAAATAGGAAGAGGGAAATTTAACTGGGCAAGGAGGGGAGATCAAAGCATTTCAGTCTGCAAAGACCCAGAGGTAAAACGGTGAAGAGATCACCCAGGAACAGTGTGTAGCTTTGTAGGGTTGGAGTTAAAAGAATGGAGGGAGGGATGATGAGAGATGAGGCTGGAAAGGTAAGCAGGAGCTAAGCCTAAAAACGCTTCTTTTGCTGTGAGAGGTTTAGATTTTATCTTGCAGGTGTTCAGAAGACATTACAGAGTTTAAGCAAAACACCTTTGGACTTTCGAAAGATCACTCCTGATGTCGTGTGGAGGAGGAATGGGTGAGTAAGAGACGAGTCAAGGAATCCAGGTGATGTCGGTGGTTTGGGGCAGAATAGGAGTGTGCTGACTGAGGCAGCAATAATGGAGATGAACCAAGTTGGACGGTGTCAAGAGATAGTACAGAAATAATATTACCTGGATTAATGGCTGAACACATGTGGTTAGGGAAGGTATAGAAGAAAAAATTCCTTTGACACTTAATATATCATAATTTCCTATCAGACGGTTTGGCATGTACAACTTCGAAGAAAAATTAATGTCATTGCATAAAGATTCTGGCGAGAAAACTGAGAATTCTAGAAGTGCTGGAGGTCACCAAATTAGTAGTGATTTATTTCTAATTCTCTTATCTGGGGATCATTTCTTCAGCAACTTCAAAAATCGTGAACTTAATTGACAATCGATAGGCAAGCAAAAGTTAATTTTAAGTTTTCTTAAAGGAGGAATTTTGCTGCATGTGCTTTCCTTTGGGAGATTCTCATTTCCACTTGCTTATTAATCTGTGGCTTCTATTTTAGACACAGTCGCAATGTCATTGCTTCACTGGTTTCCCAGCTTGAAGGAAATCGGAAGTCCCCAAAGTGAGGAGGATGGCAGGAGTGGGCACCCTGACAGCAGGCACCTGAAGAAATGACAGCTGATATTTACTCTTTTGTGGAGACTGTGAGGCATGCTTTCTAGGTGCCTAGCATCGGATATAACCTCCACCTGCAGAATCAGAATTTAGAGATTCAGCTGGTAAAAAGGAAGGAGGGCCTCCTATACTGCAGGTGCAAGATCTCAAGAGAGCATTCGAACTGTAATCATTTGACATTATTTAACATAATCCCACATTTTACAACCCACAGTCAACTAGCAATGTTCTTAGTGACAAAAGGTCTTTAAGAATACAATGAGATACACTAGATTGATTTTATAAAGAGAGGGGAGTATAAAATATTTCCAAAGTATTCCATCAAAGATGGCTGATCTTTAAATTGGTCAAACATAGATGAAGAAAAGCTTTGTTTTTCTTAAACATTTTATTTAGATGAAGAGGAGTAACTCTATTCATTTTATGTGAAAAATAGTAGTGCTTAATTTTCTTCATTTT